AGTCTCAGAACTCAAATTGAATAATAGTTTGTTTCTGTTGTATTGTATTTTTATTAGTATCTATTGTTTTTTAAATTGTGATTTGGGTGAGTCCAGAATATTTTCACAGGGAAAAAAAGGACAACAACATCCTAGGCAAGTAAAATAGAATACTAAATAAAACAAAGAATGTACTAAAAACAAAGGAATGTTAAAAATGGTTGCAGTGTGGCATCCAAGGGCCAGCACCACCATGCTGCAGTGAACCTGATTGTTACCCTGCCCCCCCATCCCTGCCCCAGTAGTTATCTTCCTCTGGTCAAATTTCCAGGTGGATGTCCCCAGAAGGGTTAGCCAGTATGTTCAAACCAGCATTTCCATCTTCATGGATGATGTTGTAAAAGGTATCATGGCCCAATAGATGAATCTTGATCAAGAGGAGGAGAATTAAAGAATGAAACTTTAAATTCTTATTGGAAACCAGATTTACTAGACATGTTGAGATTGGAGTGATTTCCAAATCTGTTTCTGCCAAATAACTTTTGAACCTGGAGTCAACACTATCCTATGAAGTCATCTTTAAACTAAACAATTCAGCTTAACTAGTAAAGAATATCTGTCTTGAACATTGCACCCTTTTAAAGAATGACTTATATGTGATTGAAATGCAACAGTAACTCTAAAGCACAGAGTATAATTTAAGTATAAGGGGCTGTTGTTGTTGTTATGTGCTTTCAAGTCGGACCTGACTCATCACGACCCCTCCTTGGGTTTCTAAGGCAGTATCACTATGGGAGTAGATTGCCCAACTTTCCTTCTGAGGAGTGGCTGGTGGGTTTGAACCACCAGCCTTCTGGTTAGCAGGCAAGTGCCTTAGGCACTGTGGTACCAGAGCTTCCAGTTTAAAGGGCGGAGAGTATAAATTAATGATGGTGAAATAGTAGGAGCAGAGATGGTAAGATTGGTGATACAATGTGAAGAATATAAACACCATCAATGAATTGTACATGTAAAACTTGTTGAGCAGGTGTGTTTTGCTGGTGTATTTTCACCAAAAATAAATAAAGGAAGGAAAGAATGAAGGAAAAAAAATGATAAAAGGACAAAAGATGGTACCATGAATCATTGTCTGAGAAATGCATAAGCAAGATTAAAGATTATTGTAGTACTTCTCAGAGTCTTTAATATAACTGTGATATTCTAAGAGGGGATCTATAAAAACTCAAAAATGAAACTCACTGCCATCGAGTTGATTCCAACTCATAGTGACCCCCTTTGGGTTTCCAAGGCAGTATATGCAAATATTTTTTGACATTAGAATTATTTTGAGGAAAGGCAGAGGCTGCTGGAGACAATATCACAGAAGCGTGTTCCATGGAACACATTTGAGAAATGCTGTCCTAGCTCCATGTCCTTTAGATCATGATAATTGCTGCCTTACTTTCCATACCCAAACATTCTAAGTGTGTTCCTTCTGCCTGGAATATTCCAGCTTCAGCTTTAGACAAGCTGCCTCCTTTTCTCTTTATTGTGGTCTCAGCTCAGATGTCCTCTCCTAAGAGGGGTTTTCCATGACCACTTGACAATGTCACTTTACAATATCTCCATCCCATAGCACTTAGACTATTTGAAAGGCTTACAGTGACTTATTTGTTAGGTTTTTATTGTCTGGTTCTCCATTACAATATAAGTTCATGTCATGAGAGTGCTGCTGTGTCCCCAGCCTTTAGATCTGGGTCTGGTACATAGTAGGTGCACAATTAAAGGAACAAATTAATGAATGAACATTGAACTTAAGTCTTTCTGTTAAACAGGGTGGAAGATCATGATGATCTCGTGCCAATATTTATGCGCCATGACACAATTCTGAAGGAAACCTATGGTGAATACTTCCTGGCTGAACTAATAGAGGCCCAAGATGAAGAGAATCATGCTGTTGTGTGTGAGGTTGGTGATTGATCCATCTAGAGATGTGCTTAGTGGGAGAAGCAAGAGTAAAGAGCCATGTCTCTCCTGGTTTCCCTGAGTGCCGACCACCATGGCCTCAACTTGTAGAGTGGCCACATGCCTGCCACATTCCCCATGCCCTTCCAGGTGGCACACCAGGTCAGTTTCTGAGCCAGGGCATCACCTCCTACTCTGTCCACAATGTTACTGGCTTTAGGTTACCTTTTGTGAGATCTTTCCAGATGTCTAGACTGGTCCAGATTCCTTGCCCTATACCTGGAGTAAGGCTAGAGATAGGGGGAAAAAAACAGAGCATCTAGAAGCAACAAGGGGCAATTCTCTGAGAACCTCAAGATCTCAGAGGCCAGAGGTCACAAGCTAGCATCTTGGTGGCTGGTGGTATTTGTTTGACTTGGAAAATGATTGATTTTTCTAACTTTGTATTTTGAATAATTTCACACGAACAGAAAACTTGTGAACATCCAGATTCCCTAAAAGTTAGTATTTCACATTCCCTTGTCATGCTCTTGCTCTTTTTCTATGTATGTATTTTTTTCTGAACCATTCGCAAATAAATTGGAGACATAATGCCCCTTCATCTAAGTTTTTCAGTGTTTGTTTCTTGAAAACAAGGATGTTTCTTTACATTACTGCAGTACAATGATCAAAATCAAGCAATTATAATTCATATTATATTATTATTGTATTATATAATCAATAGAACATACTCATATTTTACTTATTTTCCCAATAATGTCCTTTATAGCAGAAGTAGATAAAGATCATTCATTATCTTCAGGGATCAGGTGTCTTAAGTTTTTTGTAATCATCTCAGTCTATTGTGACAACACTTTTGAAGAGTAAAACCAGTAACCAAATCAGTTGTTATCTAGTTGACTCTGTTTCATGACAGCCACATGTGTGCCAGAGCTACATAAAGTTTTTAAGCCTGTGTGACCTTTTAGAAGCAGATTGCCAGATCTGTCTTTCAAGGCACCTCTGAGTGGGTTTAAACCACCAACCTTTCAGCTTGTAGTCAAACATTTAGCCTTTACACCAGTTATTTTGTAGAATGTCCCTCATTTTGGATTTGTCCAGTGTGTTTCCTTGTGATTTAATGTAGGTTATATATGATTAAATTTTGTTGAATTAGTGGCCAGCATTTAAAAATTGGGAAGGTGTGTATTAAATCTGGGATTTATAGTTTTTCTAGAAAAATCAGAAGGTCCAGCCATTGAGCTTTTATTTCTGCAGGGCCTGGTGAGCTAGAGCTTTGCATCCAGTGAAGGAGCCCTCAGTCCTACACGGGCCCACCTGGGCTTTATGGCCTCTTTTCTTGTGTCCCTGTTTTCTCCCAGCCTGTCTCCTGTGGGCATATCTGTTGTGACCACTGACTTAGGACATGTCCTCGGAGTATCTGAATTCCAGAGTGTCCAAGCAAGAAGCCCTTACTGAGATAAGAGGTAGAGATGAGAGTAAAAGACCAAACCCATATCCTTTGAGTGCCTGCTGTAAACCTTTAGATCCAAGTCCAAGGAGAGGGGTAAGAAGAGAGAAAAGATTACTAATGAGTCAGACTTAGTGTGCCTCAGCCCTAGGCAGTGAGCACGCAGGCCTGAGACTTCGAGGTGGCAGTGTGTATAGCTGCCAGTTCCTCACGACCCTCTCTCATCTACTACTTGCCTGGAGGCAGCCAACCAGGGCTGTCTTGCCTTATGTAACTTTAACTGGAGATGGGTTCCTTCTCTGCATTTGCTCCTGTAGGATGTGATAAATAAAATCCTAATCCCAATAGGAAAACATAAGTATATTGAGGTATCTTTAAGGTGGTAGTGTTAGTTTTGAGTCAGTTGAACTTAGGCTTCCTGGAGAATAGTATGATTTACGTGTACCCTCATTCTTCTTCAGTCATCCCAGTTAGAGCTTTGGGTGTTCTTCAGAGCTGAAAATAGAGAAATAGGGATATCCATGGGGCCCAACCCATTGCTAAAGAACAGCAAAACTCCTAGAGCCTGATGGTCAATAGGGAATTGTTGACTGTTTAGCTTTAGAAAGCACAGGACCACGACAAAGAGGGACTGGTTTATGTGTGTATGAGAAATGCAGGTAAAATGTCTTAAAGCAGTAGAATTGCTTCACTGATTATAAAACAGCACAGAATGCTCAGGCTACCCCCCACATTTCTGATCCCTGAGATCTGGGGTGGGCCCAAGAATTTGTATTTGTCACAAGGTCCCAGGTGATGTTGATGCTGCTGGTCCAGGAACCCTGAGAACTCTGTTTCCAAGGAATAAAGCCTTCCTCCAAATGGCTTGTTACTGACCCATGCACAACAAGGCCTTTGTTGAGAGCCTTAGGAATCGAGACAAAATAACAATTCACATGTGAGCCAGGATATTCTTCTTGCATCATCTGAGAAATATTGAGGCTATTCTTTATGGCAGCCTTTAAAAGAGGTTTAATTAAGATTGTTTTTGACAGTAAGATAATCTTATTTTAAATGAATTTTTGTGCTTGTATTTTACATATCATTATTAATAAACATGGATAGAGCCCTTGGATGCCCAGCCTATTTTCTTCAGAGAGTCCCAAGGTTCAGGCAAAAATGATCACAAATTATGATTTTTTTCAAGTGGATATTTGACTTTCATTTTAAAAAGAAGAACTTCATGCCAGTTAGTTGAAAAGTATTAAAATGTGGGAATTTAGCAGTTTTGCTTTTAGGATGATTTGTTTAGGGATCCAACATTCCTCCTACATTCATTTCTCATTATTTGCTTAACTTATAAAAATTGTCTTAAGAATCTATCTTTTCTCAAAACTTGAAATCAAAAGTTTTCTTATTTGGCTTACATCATCAATTTGAGGCTTTGTTCTATATTAGTGGCTCTCGACGTTGGTTGTGTATAAGAATCACCTGAGGGCTTTAAAAAAATCCCCATGCCAAAGGACTTGTATGCAAAATAAAGAGCTCTTACAACCATAGAGACACTAGGATTTAAAAATATAAAAATAGGCAAAGGATTTGAATAGACATTTCTCCAAAGAAGATACACAGATGACCAATAAGCACACGTAAAGGTGCTCTACATCATTAGTCAATGTTGTTGTTGTTGTCCCCTCCTTGGGTTTTTCTACGTATTGCTACGGAAGTAAATTGTGCAACTTCCTTCCCAGGAGTGGCTGGTGGGTGTTGTTAGGTGCTGTCAAATTGACTGACTCAAAGTGACCCTATGTACAACTGAATGAAACACTGCTCAGTCTTGTTCCAGCCTCATAATTTTTGCTATATCTGAGCCCATCATTGCAGCCACTATGTCAATAGAGAAATGCTAATTAAAATCACATTGAAATACGTTACATCTACTGTTGTTGTTGTTGCTAGCTGCCCTTCAGTAGGCCTAGACTCATGGAGCCTTGCTAAAATTTGTTTAGCATCACAGCAACACAAAGGCCTCCACTGATGACAGATAGGTGGTGGCTGTGCATGACACATTGGCAGGGAATTTTACCAGGTCTCCAATGTGGAAGGTTAGAATTCTAGGATGGTTATAATCAAAAAGAGAGTCAATAACAAGTGTTGGTGAGGATGTGGAGAAATTTGAACCCTTATACATTGCTTATGGGAATGTAAAATGGTGCAGCCACTATGGAAAACAGTTTGGCATTTCCTCAAAAAGTTGAGCATAGAACTATCATATGACCCAGGATTTTCACTCCTATGTTGGAAAAAAAAGTCTACATAAAAACTTGTACATTAATATTCATAGCAGTATTATTCATAATAGCCAAAAATGGGGAAAAGTTTAAATTTCCACCAGTTGAAGAATAAACCAACTAAATGTGATATATATATATATATATATATATACGCAAAAAAAACAAACCCACTGCCATTGAGTCAATTCTGACTCATAGCAACCCCCATTGGCTTTCCAAGTCTGTAAATCTTTACAAAAGTAGATTGTCTCATCTTCCTCCCATGGAGCAGCTGGTGGTTTGAACCATTTAGTTAGCAATCAAATACATTATCCACTGTGGTAGTTAAATTTGTATGTCAACTTGGCTGGGCCTGATTGAGTGACTGGGCAGCTAGTGGTAGTTATTCCCCATGATTAGACTGGCAATCAGCTGCATGATGTGATCTACCACAAGCAGCTGAGTAGCTGCATTTGGGATGTGGTCTGCTTCCTGTATGTAAGGAGAAGTCTTGGGGATAGTCTCTGGCTTAGGGCATGCTTGAATCCTGCATGTAGCTGTGTCATTGTTTAGCAGTCTGCCATGCTCTGCCAACCTTGGGACTTGCAGTGGACTTGAATGAATGACCTGCTGTGTAGTTGGGTAACATCAGGACTTTGCCAATTATTTGTCGACCTTGGGCTTGTTAACCTCAGCAGCCAGTAGTTGCCTGTGTGAAGAGATGCCTCTAGCTTCAGTGGGCTGGGAGCAGTGGGCAGAGCTGAAGCCCAAGGTTGAGGGGCTTTCACCTAGCCCCTAGAGCCTGGCACTTTGAACTCGGACTTCTATCTCCCAAACTGTAAGAGAATAAACTCCTGTTTGTTCAAGCCATCCCATTTGTGGTATATTCCTGTCAGAGCAGCACTAGGTGACCAGAACACTCACTATACCACCAGAGCTCCTTATGTATCCAAATAGTGGAATATATTTAGCCACAAAAAGGAATGAAGTATTGATACATGCTGTGATATGTTTCAACCTTGAAAACATGCTATGTAAAAGAAGCCAGACTGACATCCATTTCAGGAGGTGGCATATGATCTAGAACCAATGGTACTGAAGGAGGAAGTCAAAGCTGCAATGAAGGAATTGGCAAAGAGCAAGGCTCCAGGAATTGACGGAATACCCATTGAGATATTTCAACAAATGGATGCCCCATTGGAGGCACTTACACGGTTATGCCAAGAGATTTGGAAAACATCTACCTGGCCAACTGACTGGAAGAGATCCATATTTGTACCCATTCCAAAGAAAGGTGATCT